CAGGAATGGATCCCTGCCATTTAAGAGGGAAAAAAATGCTGTCCAAACACACATGCCTGCTTCAAATTCTACGTGGAACAAGATCAGACAAATAAAAACATAAAAATTTAGGATTAAAAAAACCCTCTAGGATGTAATTTCATAGAAGTTTGAATCTCTGCTAAATGAAATCGGGCTACCTAGATGTACTCTGGCCAATTCAAGAGGTCAAAATGAAAAGACGAAGTGAACAGCAACTGTGGACAGGTGGGAGCATAACCAGAAAACGTTCCTTTACTCCTCCATCAACCACCGCCCCCCCCCAGTCCCTTTTGCTTTTATTCTCAATGCTCTTGTCTTTTTCACTTTTTCATAGGCTTTATCTCAGTGTCCTTGTAAAAAACAGGGTAACAAATCATATAAGCTCTGGGTTGAAATCTTTAGGAAGAAATATATAGCTGCTTAATCTGCTGAACGAGCAGCACTGTAAACACACGCAACAAGATATGGTGAACACTTGCCTTCATGTGCCAGGAGTTATTGGCTCCATCCAATCCATGCCCTGGCCTAAGACACTTTCCCCTGTTTAAGAAAAAAAATCCTCCACAAAAACAACAAAAGACCCCCACATAACCCGATTAAAAAATGGGCAGAGGACCTGAACAGACATTTTTCCAAAGAAGATACACAGATGATCAACAGGAACATGAAAAGATGTTCAACATTACTAATTAAGGAAATGCAAATCAAAGCCTTGAGATACTTCACACCTGTTAGAATGGCTATTATTGAAAAGAAGAAATAACAACTGCTGGAGAGGGTAAAAGGGACCCCTTGTACACTGTAGTACTGTAAATTGGTACAGCCACTATGAAAACCGTAATGGAGTATCTTCAAAAAATTAAGACTAGGGCTTCCCTGGTGGCACAGTGGTTGAGAGTTCACCTGCCAATGCAGGGGACACAGGTTCGTGCCCTGGTCTGGGAAGATCCCACATGCTGCGGAGCGGCTGGGCCCATGAGCCATGGCCGCTGAGCCTGCGAGTCCGGAGCCTGTGCTCCGCGACGGGAGAGGCCACAACAGTGAGAGGCCCGCGAACCGCAAAAAAAAACAAACACTAATTCAAAAAGATATATGCACCCTTATGTTGACTGCAACACTGTTTACAACAGCCAAGATATGAAAACCTAACTGTCCACTGATGGATGAATGGACAAAGAAGATATTGTGTATATACGCAATGGAATAATGCTCAGCCGCAACAAAAAATGCTACAATGTGGAGCAGCATTTACAACAACATGGATGGACCTTCAAGGTATTATGCTAAAGTGAAATAAGTCAGACCAAGTATATCACTCATATGTGGAATCTAAAAAAATAAAACAAATGAACAAACAAAATAAAACAAAAACAAACTCATAGATACAGAGAATAGATCAGTTGTTACCAGAGGGTAAGGTGGTTGGTGGATGGGCAAAATGGGTGAAGGGGGTTAAATGTATGGTGATGGATGGTAACTAGACTTGTGGTGGCGATCACTTTGTAGTGTATATAGATGTTGAATTATAATGCTGTACACCTGAAAATTATATCTCTATATAAATCCTTCACTAGTTGCAAGGTGCAGTTCAAACCATTTTACAGGGCAAAACTCCAGGACAGTACATAAAACCTTAAAAATGTTTTCCAATTCTAGGAAAATCAATCTCAGATGTTAATGGTTTGTAAATTCAGGTACTTCTAGAGAAACCAGTCCTATTCCCCAGACTACCTAGAAGGAAAACTCACCTTTGGCTCTGCAGCCAGATGTCTCCGGGTTGGATGGTTGAAGGTGAGAGGAAATGCACCCCTTTTCTATGGTTCCACAGGTTCCTATGTCTTCCTCTAGCATCCTGTACTGTGACTGGCCCGCTTCCTTGCCTGTATTTCTCCTCTACACCAAAAGCTCTATGACAGTAGGAAGTGAATATTGCCAGAACCTGGCACAAGGTCTCACATCAGACACTCAAAAAGTATTTGCTAAATGAATGGATGTAAAACCATCAAAGCCTGGAGACCCAATATGGAGTAGCAAAAAAATAATCATCCTCATCCTCAACTTTATAACTTACTGTAATTCTGACTATGAGTCAAAAATTCTCTGGGTTTTCTCCCTGATCGGCAAAACGGTGAGAACTAACTGCTAAGACCTCTTCCAGTATTCTGATTCTACGTATGTATGTACAAAGCATGTTTAAAATTGTAAGACTGGTTTAAATGAACACACCAGAATTCATAAGTGCAAATGAACATTAACTCCTTTAAACGTAGGTACTTTGACAAGGTACTCATTCAATTACGAAAAGCAACTTAGAATTCTGCTTGTTTCTAATTTAAAGCAAAACCAAATAGCTTTTTAATTTACAAAAGCAAGATATATTTACCACTAAAAATAAATCAGAAATCATAAAAAGGGAACAGAATTGACCCTCAATCATACAGACAGAAGGACTAGTGTAGCCTGGATAAAAAATCATTCTGAGTCCTCCTGCTATAAACATATCCTGTATGCCTACATTTTTTTCTTTACAAAACCAAGGTTATTCTACACTGGTAACCTTTCTTAATATAGTATGAATATATTCCCACATACTCTGCAAGCACAGCGATCTGTAGCGTGGCAATATTAATTTATTTAACTGATGACCCACTGCTGGATATTTAGGTTGTTTACCCATCAATATTACAGAAAAATGCTACACTAAATGTCCTGGTAGTTAAAATTTTGAACACACAATTATGCCCTCAGAATAAACTTTCAGACATGATTTTTTGGGAGGAAGGCTGTACATTTTTAACACAGTTGACTTGTATGCAGTTTTTTCCTCTTTGGTAACAGATTTCCATCCTTTTGATAGTAGATGTAATCACTGGAAGCAGCCAAAAGTCACTGGGGGTCAAGTCTGGTGACTGAAGTGAGATCAAGCTAGGCAATACTATTTTTAGTTGAAAGCCTCTGATTATGCAGCAGTGTGACTGGTTTTCATATGTGACTCAGAATTGCTCTTGAAGGCAGTCACAACAGGAATTCCAAACTGTTGTAAGCAATTGGCTCATTATCAAACTAAGCATATTACTTCCTAAAGACACAACTATAAAAGGGATGAACAGAGCTGGATGCTTTCTTAGGAGTCATTCCACTGCAGTTCTATCTCATTCACACAGGAAGTCTCAACAGTTGAGTCAATCAATTCATTTTAAATAGCTGTACTGGTTCACCTAAAACTTAAATATTTGCAGTATTTATTTACCACTTGACACTTCACATACATTATTTTAAAAATTTTTGTACCACCACTAAAAATAGAGATAGTATTCTCTCCATTTTATAAATGAGGAAGTAGAGACTCAGAGAAGACAAATGATTTGCCTAAGGCAGAGCCAGTATGCCAATACGGATGTTTTAGCTTTAAACACCACGTTCTTTTCATTTTCTGACCCAGCCATGTAGCACCTTAATGTAATTTTTAAATGCACGGGCCTCTCACTGTTGTGGCCTCTCCCATTGCGGAGCATAGGCTCCGGACGCGCAGGCTCAGCGGCCATGGCTCACGGGCCCAGCTGCTCCGCGGCATGTGGGATCTTCCCGGACCGGGGCACGAACCCGTGTCCCCCGCATGGGCAGGCGGACTCTCAACCACTGTGCCACCAGGGAAGCCCGGGTTGTTCAATTCTTAACTGCTAGGATTAAAACTTCTTAATGACTCTATCACTACAAGTGAATAATCCTACTCTTTATTTAACCTGTAAGTAAACTGAACAAAACTGGGGGTACTGCTTATGAATAGGCTCGTTTATATTCTTAAGAAAAACTGGCAGTTCACTACAGAAACCCATTTATTCAATTTGAATAAAGTAAATATTGATGCTAGACTTTACATTTAAAGAGACCTGTCTGGCAAGTGAGTCACGTTTTAACAATAACCATAGTAAAAAGGAAAAAAATTAGAGCAGTAAGTTAAATAAAAGGCTAATAAAACCTGGAGGAAACAGCTCAGTGTTTTCTTTTAAACCCTGAAGAACACCAAATGTACATTATTTTGCATAAAGAGTCATTTCATGAAAAGACTATTAACAATACAATAGTAGAGTCAGTACTAAGAATTTCAATGATATCCAACTCAAAAATGCATAGGGAGAGTAAAGTTATTTTATTAAATCATGCACATCACGTGTGTTAGTGCAAATAGTTTAATCTGTACTCCAGAAATTCTATTGTACTTTATATCTTTACAAAATAGATTTAAAACAATTATTTACTTTAAAAAATGTAATTCTGAAGTTAAGCATTTCAGAACAATATTTGCAATAACCTATATACAGGAGGTACTGGGTACCACTGGCATATTAGCATTCTGTGGTGGAGTGGCTTCCTGCAACAGAAAAATGATGAAATGAACTATATGACAGTATTTTCTACAAGTCATTTGTGATTAATTCCTCCATAAATCTAGTGATCCTCCCAACAGCAAACCCCAAATGGCTTAAAATATAACCTTTAAAGTATAAACAATGACTGCCAAACATTACAAGGCAAATTATATCCTAAACTTCTGTTTCAATATTTGGCTAGGCCTGTGGATTGCCACAGAACATTCAAGCCAATTCACTGACATTCCCTCTCAGTTTTCATTGACTGAAAAATTTAACTATGTGATACTTTAGGATATTCTATGACCTATATAAACTTCATTGACATAACTGTGGTGCCGCACAAAAACCATAGCTAAACCTTCACTTCCGTGTTTTAAATTTGTAACATCAAGCAGTGTTTAGGTGCTTTACTGTGCATGGAACACTATTAATCTTGGGAATAGTGCTTCTCATTAACAGAACGTCCCAATTAACAATAAAAAGAAAATAACCATTTGCCTCCCCAACCAGGAAATCTGTTGGTAGGTAACAACAGCTCACCTCGAACATGAATTAGCTTTGAAATATCATTAACCAAATTAAGTCAGTAAAAGCTTATCTAAAGAGATATTAATTCTTTCTTCAATTAAACATGCTTGGAGGAAGAGATGATAGGAAAAAAAAAAAAGTCATGCTTCCTAAAATGCTGTATATGAGAAAGTAACTTGGCTTTTAAAGAAAATATCTCTTTAAATACATGAGGTTTAATAAATTACATTCCAATTGACTCAACAGTTTGGTTTACTGCACTGAAACTGTATAATTACTATGTTTTTGCTCCCAGAAATACTTCAGTTTGCTCAAGAAAATACACACTCTCATGGAAAGTTTTTCAAAGTTGATGTCCTCCACATCATCAAGTCACATTAAGGCTGAACAAACGTGCATATATTCCCCAAATTATCACTAGAACAGAGTATTTTCCAAGTGTATTTCTCCTTAAAAAAAAAAAAACAAAAAAACCACGCAAATAGTTGTCTCTAAGTCTTGTTCCCAATAGCTCAGTGGTTTTATAACAAGTAAAAATGGCGTAAATATGTAAAAAATATATATATATGTGTATATATTCAAACTGATAGGCACTGAGCACACAGGGCCTCTCTTCCCATGTATGTATCAGTTGTTTGGTTTGGGTAGTTATCGAATCAAAAAAAATGAGTTATCTGGCCATTAGAATTCAGAGTAAAATACCCATAAATTTAATGCTATAAATAATTTGGTGTACCAAGAAGCCTACTTTAGGCCACCATAATATTCAGAATTTCAACATACTAATTTAAAAATTACATGAAAAATTGCAAGCAAATTATTGCTTACAGTAGAATAAAGTCACAATTTTATATCCTCTTTATAGACAGATACATTTTATATAATTTAAAGCAATGACCCTACAGCTGTATTCTTGCACTTCTGCTGTTTTAAGAGGTAAAAAGGAAGAAAATGGTTCTGTTTGTCCCCAGCATGAGTGTGGTGCCAGCTTCTAGAGGGAGGACGGTGTACGGACTCAAGAAACGCTCTCATGGAGAAGCTCTGGCCAGACCTGGCACGTACAGCACGATGGCTGTCACCGCAACCAAGGCAGCCAACATGGGCATCCAGGGCCAGGGTTTCTGTGTGGAAAGAAACCAAGAGTCAAAATCACATTCTCCCTTCTTTTTTCATACCTATTAACCCCTTGGTTCCAGAGAGTCCTGAATACTTAACAGAATATTAGAAAAACCTTATCTTTGCATAAGAATAAATTTTAAAAAAAGAAAAAATGGTGAGGGAGTGCAGGTGTGAGGAGAGCCATAATAGCAGGAACTGTTTTAGAGGACCACTGTGTGGAAGCCAAATACATTGCAGGAAACTCTTGGGCAGTTTTCAATTTTCTTTGAAGCCTAATAGCGACTTCTCTAAGAAACGCTTTGAGTTCAGCCTGTTTTATTTACTCCGGTATCCACATATTACAGCTAACTGATGTCCATAAATGCCTGGAGTATGTTTCTGCCTAAAATGTTTATTTCTTGATAAAAACCAGACTCACATGTTGGCATAATTTTATATAAGGGGCTGGTGGGTAAGGTGATAGAAAGAAAATGGTCTAAGCTTTGATCCTCTAATCTTAAACCACAGAAGACAAAATCAGAAGGGGTTCAAGATGGCAAAGTGATGTTAGGGACCCTGCTTCTCTGATGCTTTTGGTAAAGACCATGTCCAGGGTAATAATGCCACGTGATCATCTCATATGCTCTACTAACCAGTATGCTTGTTGGAGGCGAGCATGGATGGGCTGTTCTCTGTTAACTATCAGAGGGCTTTACAATATCAATTTGCTTTGTTTGAAAACTTTATTTTCACTAGTGTTCTGAGTTGTATTGAGAAAGCCAGCTTTTAAAGAAATATTGTGATGTTGTAGATCAGGGCTCAGAAAGACATGGGACAGGCTGATACTCTCACAAGTAAATGCATACTGAGGTTGAGATTGTGAGCCAATGGTCCATTATGCCACTCTCATCCTTTTTCATCTCCTTAGCCACAGTGTAATATAGGCAAAGGGTTGAAACAACGAAACTCTACACCATGGAAAAGAAGAGGGAAGGGAGGAGGGGGAAGAAAGCTTGCTGAAAACTTCAAAGAGGCAAACTCTTCATTTCTCATTCAGAGCTGATTAAACATATAATTGGGAAGGGGGTACTAAGCTGCAGCAATTCACAGTTTACTCCGGTTTGCTAGAGACAAAGACTCAGTTAAAGGCAGCATATTAACATCTGGTTAGGTTGGAATTAATTCATGGTTAGCTCTACTACAAAAGAAACAAGACAATATGTTACATGATTAGTTGATCATTCAGTTCATTTGTATGACACAATACATAGCATACTAAATGAAGGGTTTGCTTCAGGTAACAAAATACCTGTGTGGTTTTGCCATGCACTATATTACAAATATGGCACAAACAGGTGACGGGAACAAACAGACAAGGACTCAACAGTAGTGCTTGTACCTTTCTCTACCACAATGGACCGAAACACCAAAACAGGAAAGCCAGGAATAGGCCGATGAATACGGCTGGGACGGGTTGTAATATGGAAGGCTAAAGAAGGGAAGGGATATTAAAATCATTTTATGCTATAAAAAATTCAGGTAAGATGATTTAGAACCCAGGGGGGTGGGAGGGAGGGTAGAAAGACATTTTAAAGACATCTAATACAATCCAGAATGATGGACTGTGTTATGTAAGTTGGCAAACTACCAGTTTAAAAGGAACAGCTGGAGGCAATGTGGGTGTCCCTAACTCCCTAAAGAAATGTAGCACGTTAAGACTTAAGACGGAGCAATGAAAATACCTCACCAGCTGATGCTCTGCTTGACAGTACATTATTTTTGTTCCATACTCAGAAACCATTATTTGACAATGTACTCCTTTGGAAATGGCTAAGGTTTATTTTATCCCTCTATCAAAACCTTTTTTTTTTTTTAAACCAAAACTCTTTTGCTTGAGATAGTATTGCTTTCAAGCTTAAAAATAAATGCCCTGTGATGCATGGCATTTATTTTTCTAAATCAAGCAAGAGATCTGACACAACATATGAGAAACATTTAGTATATAAAGACAGGCAGCTGAATCTCAGGGCTTTCAGTGATGTTACAAGAATATAAGTAATTTTTAATTTAATTTTATTATTATTATATTTTTGGCTGCACCACGTAGCATGTGGGATATTACTTCCCCAGCCAGGGATCGAACCTGTGCCCCCTGTAGTGGAAGTGTGGAATCCTAACCACTGGACTGTCAGGGAATTCCCAGTAATTTTTTAAATTGGAAGGGAATTACTACAATGAGTGTTATTACAGAGTAATATTTCATTACCGTAAGCCTAATGTCATAAAAATAGGAAATCTACCCTTAAAGTAAATTATTTGTATAACTATAAATAATAATAGCAACGTTACTTTCAAATAGGCTCTAAATCATATAGAGGGATCCATTCTGATTATCCTAGATGTCTTCATAGGTTAATTTAGTAGAAGGTAGACTGAAATTCCATCATCAGAGAGATATGAATTAACACAAAAGAGAGAAGTAACCAAACCATTATGATCTGATTTCAGAAGTGTTCTGTAATTGACATTTTCAAAATAAATGCAATCCATTTTTGCTTATCATAAAGCCTCCATACCCAATTCATAAATTTCTGAAAGGCTTCTACCTAAGCAACAAGTTTCTTTATTAAAAAAAACAAACAAACTAGGACTTTCTTTAGCAAAGAACAGTTGGACACAACTCATAAGCATTCTGAGTGTGACTGTGTAACTGGATGGCCATGCAACATTACTCTTTTGTACTTGTGCTGCAAGTTAAGCAGAGTGCCTTTCTCCATAGGAAGTATGCAGCTCATGCCCACTGCAGTGTCCAAGCCATGACAGGGATTTGGTATAAGTCAGAGCACAATCAACCACACTGAACATCCATCAATTAGGGCCCACAAAGGCAATGATCATTAAAACGTATAACACAACATTTATTTAGTATAACATCTTTTAAAAGACCATCTGCCTCTCTAGCAAATAAAATACAAATTAATATTATTAAACTCAATTTATAGCAAAATGTTCCAATTTCACACACACACCCCCCTAGAGAAACTCACCAAATACTTCCTAATATTTATAGGGGGCCCAGAAGACACTAAGCTTTTTAGAAATGTGCCTCAGTGAGAACATTATTAGTACAAAATGAAAACCATCATTAAGTCTCCATTTTTTGATACAGACAAATGCTAAGGAATCGTCATGTATTATTCTTTCTTCAGTGGGTCCCTGGTGGTATAGTGCTTTCCCAGAGGGGGAAAAACAAGAGCCAGATGAAGGCTTAGTGACAGAACTTCAGATTCATTCAGGAAAAGCTGACAGTTCTTAGGTAAATTATCTTTTTGCAAACAAGGCTCTTCCTCCAGGTAGTCCTTAGGCTCTTCTAGGCGTACAGGTTAAAGGGGCAAATTCTTGTTAAAAAATCTGACAGCCCAATAATTCCATCATGAAAAGCTTAGTTCATGTGTACTACAAGGTGTAGTTTCTCAAATCAGTAATAAAGTCCTCTGGAAAATCAATTTCAGGGCTCTCACCTGCCTCTCAATCAAAGCTAAGCCAAGTTTGCAAAGACTTACATTATTTCCTTTCTCTCGGAGCAGCTTCAGGTTGTCTTTACATTGTTTGAGCTCATCTGTGATTGACTGTTTTTCCTGCTCAGTCATTTCAAACTTCAACTTCAGTTCTGAGAGTACAGTCTGTGTCTTTTCATACTAAAGGCAAAGAAAAGAGAGTGTGCAGACTCAACTTAAAATGGGTATGAAGTTATGCGTCTAGTCAGGCTTATATGCCAGACCCTGTTTAGTCACCTGCAACACCACGGTCAAGCCTTTTTGTTATAAGGAGAATAAGAATCACTTGCACTAATAATAAGAAGCCTTTAACATTTACTTGATTCTATGTTAAGAATTTTGTGGCCCTGGTGTTAAAAAAAATTGAGAAGTCACCACCGTGTCATCTGTTTCTAATATAAGGGGTCACTATTTCCACTAAAAGAATTAGAGGAGAAATGTAAAATTCCAAACTGAGCAAAAGAAAAGTAAGTGAAGAAAAACTCCGTAGCCTAATTAAATGGCAAGGTTAGGAAGTCTGAGTTTATATCCTGGTAAGTAATGTCAGCCAAGCTATTTTAGTCTTGAAGTAAAAAGTATTAACTCTCATTAGGCCTCCCTTTACCCAGCATCACTGGGTATTAAAGTGTTCTGGATAAGGAATTTCTAGGCAAATGAAGCAAAGAAATATATCTAAGGCACCAATCACTATGATTGGGACATTTCTATTTCTCTGTTTAAGACTTATAAGCATCAATTAAAAATAATTAAAAAAAAATCTTTTTCTGATATTTTTCCATAGTGAAACATGCCACTTCCTGCTCTGGAAAACAGTTCACTGTATATAATATGACTTTCAGCCAGACTACCTAGCCCTTGAACACAGGTGAGATTAATGCAAAACATAGTATGGTTTGCCCCTACTTTAAATACCCCAGAAGGCAGGAA